TATATATATACAGTACATATATGAACTCCAGTTGAATAGTCCTGCCTTAGAAAATACAAAAATGGCTATAATTCAGTCAACTTTACAGATGTTGAGATAAAATTAGGTGGTGTTGAAGCCAAGAGTTATTCACAACACAAAAACCAAGAGCTAACAAATCGAGTCATTTCTGTGATTAAGACTCGGATAAAGGTGACTTCTACAGCTAACAGACTGTAGAAAAAGGTTTTGAGCTTAGATCTAGAGTGGTAGTAGCTGAAAGTCATTCACAACACACTCTGAGTGCTACATGTTACAGCACATTTGTTTGTGCTGTTTAAGTTGACCCAGTTTGTCTGTTAGCAAAATATTTCATATTCCAGTTAGCAGATCTTAAAGGAAGTAACCACCGAACAAACAAATAAACTGATTAAATTTTAGAGCCAACTCAATTCAAAATGCTCACTGAACTTAGAAAACTCTGTTAAAGTATTAGCCTGTAAGTTAGTGTGGTAGTAGCTGAGAGTCATCTCCAGCACACACTTTGAGCACTAACAGATCATGCAAAGTTTCACAACTGTAACAATATTTTCAAGGTTTGACCAAAACAGCTGTAACTCCATCTTTTCTGAACAATCAATGACTTTAGTTTGAAGTTTAGACGTAAAGGTTTTGAGTTTGCCGATGTTGTTGAACCCAAACCAGGGAAACGGTGGTCAGGCCTACCATATGTCCACTTTTTCTGACACGGGCTCATTGCGGATGACCTCAGGAGCCATCCAGGCCACGGTGCCAGCAAACGACATCTTGGTGCTCTTGTCACTGAGCTCCTTCGAGGTGCCAAAGTCGGAGATCTTCACCATGTCATCGTGTGTGATCAGCATGCTAGAGTGGAAATAAAGCGTTAACTCAGAGAAGAAGAAGAATCTGCTCTGACAGCGTGCTGTCTTACTTTGGTGACTTGAGGTCTCGGTGGATGATTTTGTGGAGGTGTAAGTAGTTCATGCCGCCGGCGATGCCCATGGACCAGTCGACCAGGAGGGAAGGGGTGATCTTGCGGCCCGCCCTCAGCACCTCGTACAGCTGGCCCTGAGCACAGTACTCCATCAAGATGCAGAAACACGGAGCCTGGGTGCAAACGCCCCTGAGAGGAAGCAGATCATTCAGACAACAGAGCGCAGCCGAACACAAAGCAGGGCCGCAATCAGAGCAGCACCACTGAAACGTTCCCACCAGTTCCCTCACTTGAACGTGATGATGTTTGGGTGCTTGAGCTTCCGGAGGTGTTTGATCTCCGTCTCCTTGATGTCCCGGACTTTCTTCACGGCCACCTCCTCTCCGTGCAACTTGCCGAGGAAGACGGCCCCCTGCGCCCCGCTGCCCACCCACTGGAGGTCTGAAATTTCCTCAAAGGGAACCTCCCAGGACTCTAAACTCAGAGCAGAGAAAAGAAAAACATCACCGCTGATGTTTAAATGTGACTTCTTCAGGTGTGGCACAGATTAAAGATTTTCTCACAGGAAGCTCGTTGAAAACCTGCAACAAAAACCAGTCACTGTCAGCTGATTGTGACAGAAAATATATTCATCTGGTCACATTACATCCACCATCTTCAATGTATTTTACTGAGTTTTTTATGACAGACTAACACCAAGCAGCACCTGAAATGTAAGGAAATTTATAAAATATGTAATTTTTAAGGTTTTAGAAATACGTTTTTGTAAGTGTGGCACATATTTGTATTCAGTTCCCTTAACACTGACTAAAATCAATATATTATGTCAAATATTCAATATTTCATGAAAATATGTTATCTAACAAATTATTATAATAGAAATACAAATGATCTTTTCCAAATTTTATTTTATGTAGCAACACAACATAACAAATAAATAAAAAGATTAAGTTTAGGAAGACATCATTAGCATTCCTTTCTGATGTCCTACCAACAACTTTTTCATTTATTACACCTTAGAGATAGATTTTATCACAATCCAACAAATCATGTAAAAACAAAAACCTTCACTAAAAATCAAATTATTTGACTTTAAAATGAGAAAATAAAACAGATAAAAAATGTGAAAGGGGCAATATTATGTGTTTCTCAGGCATAAGTATATTTAAATTCTATACCATAATAAAGTATCTATGTCATCTTCGGTTGTTTTAAAAATGTTGTTTATATGTTTAAATAGAAAATAAACTTGACTTCTCATCATATCTGTTTCTAAACGCCTTGAAATTGGCTTCTTCTCTTTAAGAACCACCTTCTGCTTCTGTCACGCCCATTTCAGCATGGGGCCAGGTGTGTGTGTGTGTGTGTGTGTGTGTGTGCTCTGTGATGAGGAAGCTCAGCTTGGAGACACAGCCCAGAGGAGGAGCTGGTCCCAAAAGGTGGTTCTAGGCCCAGCCGGTGGTTTTTGCTCCCCTGCCTGGCTGCCTCAGGACACTACAGGATTTCTCCAACATGCATGAATGAGTCAAAGCAGGACTCTGAGCATGTTTTTGATGAGAGGATAACATTATAACAGGATATAAAACACTAAAAAGCTGCTTTAAAGCTGATTATTTGCTGCTCTTTTCACACCAAAATCAAAGATTACTAAAAATATATATATTTTTCTCGCTTTGAAAGTCGGCCAATTGTTATGAGAAGAATCCACTAAATACATAGACAAAAAGAAAAACCATAAAAATATTTCACATTTAAAATATTACCTTTTGGGGCCAGAAAAAATGTTCGCAAGGGCAATTTTTGGCCAGCGGGCCTTGAATTTGATGCATGTGGTTCAGATCAAAGCTTATTTTTGTGTTACAACGGCCCAAAGTCCAGACCTCATACTGTGAATCTGTCCCAGTCTGAGTGAGCTCGAGCTTTTTTACAAACAAGGATGGGAACAAACACGCCACACTTCTCAGCTTCTTCATATTTTCTACCCTTTTTTCTTCCACCTTACAGCTGTGTGGTACTTTGTGTCGATCAATTGCATCAAACCCCAGTAAAACACTTTGAAGTCTGTCGTTTTAGCATGACAAAATGCAACGCACATCCAAAGAAAAGACGTAAACGAAGAAGAAAAAGACAAATCCACTCAGAGCCTAATGCGTCTGTCACTCTGACATCGCTTAAACGACTGTGAAGAGTCGGTCACTTAAAGACGGACAAGTCTGGCAGAGAAAAAAAAGAGACACGCAAATCAATTCTTCATGAGGTCCACTGGAGGGTGGAGTTCTCCTGGGAGCAGCAGAGGATGCACACGATCGCTCCTCCTTCTTCTATCTGAACTGACGTCGGGTCGAGCCGGGCGCCGAAAATGCAGGCAGCGCTTCCAGACAAGATAGTGAGTACGCAGTGATGGACGTCTGGATATTTGATTAGAAATAATTAGTCTCAAGTGGTGTCCCTCATCTGCCACTCTAGATACTGCACTTTTTTACTTCTCTACATTTACCTCACAGCTGCTTTTCAAATTAAAACCTAACATGAGCATTAACAAACAGTTTATATTAAATTCATTTCTTAAAGGGCTAATATTATGTGTTTCTCAGGCATATATTTAAATACTATAACATAATAAAGT